GGTCCTGCCTTCTCAAAAATTTAAAAAAATTACCACTCGGTCAATACGAATCGAATTCTTTTTTAATCATTTTAATCAGATGTGCTTTCTCTCAAAAACTGGTTGTTTTTGCACTTTTTGCTCTATATCTCACGAACGGCTGAACGTGCATTTGCCCAAAACTAGTCAGCATCTCTCCCCATCAATATAATTCAAATGTTTTCTGAATCATTCAAATCAGTTGATCTATGCTCCCAATATCGTAGACGAAAAATTATACCCAAACATCCGCGCACACACATGCATCCATACTTTCTAAGGTATGCCAAAATGTTCAGAAACTCCAGAAACGTAAGACATGCAAAAAAATTTTTCGTTTTGTTGCGATTTCTATAACTTACCCTACGGGAAAGTTAAATATTAAAAAATGAACACCATAATATTAATAGATTGGAAGGACAAAAATAAAATAATAAACAATGTAGTATATTATATTTCAAATAGATGAAGTTAGTTAAATTATTACGTGCATATTTTCACAGTTTTGTTCCATCTTGTTATTGGCTATTGGTTATATTCCATTATATTTAAGTACTATTATACTATTAACTATTTATAGAGCTATACGCACAATGTACTATGAGTGTTATTTTCTGTTACCGAGCTTTTGTTAGAAAGCAACTCAGTGGTTGTTCTATGTCTTTGTGATGAAATTTTCACATAGGTAGTTCTAATTATATATATATATATATATATATATATATATATATATATATATGTATATATATATATATATATATATAACGATGAAAACATTTTTGGGAAATAATTTGGGTCATTTTCAGATGAAAACAGTTTTGGGTCTTTATTTTGAAGAATGTACATAAAATATCAAAAACAATAATTTTAATTTTAAATATGCATAAAAGATACATGATCAATGTAGGTATTTCACGCGCAAATGATTTCTATACGTAATAATTCACTTAACAACGGTTCGTGCATTTTATATAAAAATGTTGTAAAATCTTAACCTTGATATCTTGTTTTTCATATTGCAATATTTGCATGATCGATGATCAAATTAATTTATCAGAGCTAATTCAAAGTGCTTGTAATCATCGTTGTTATTCCATGACATTATTTTCCTTTGAAGGAGTATTTATGTTTATAATTTATTTCAAACTTACCATTATGGTTTTAATAACGATTAACCTGTACAAAAAAATTTCACACTTATAGATTAAGAACTAAACAGAAATACCTTTTAATATATGTATAAATAAATTATTGGATCTGAACAGTGAAATTTACCACAATATTTTTTTTTATCTTTCGCTAACCATAACGGTGAATTCGAAGAAAATGATTTTTTTATACACTTCAACTCACCAACAGATATAAACAATTTCAAGCAGTCAGAAAGAACTTAAATCAGTAATTCCAATAATTTATCAACAACTAATTTATTTCATGAAAACATTTTTGTTGTATACATAGTTCATAACTATTAAATGGTCTAAAATATTGTCATGTAGTTAAAGATCAACAGGAGCTTTGACTATAATGTCACCTAAATTGTTTTTTATTTCTAGAAATCTTCTTTTAAATTCTAAACCACAGCCTTTTGATAATCGGAAGTCCATCAATAATTTGTTTTTTATTTTTATTACATTGGCTTTGAATACCAATGGCATTTTGCGCCTGTCTAATGTGTTTATTGTTACCACGCCCTTATTTGTTTTCCAAAATTCATTTTTGTTGAGGCAACTAGTAAGCTTCTTAATGACGCCCTCAGTATCTCCGCTAACAAAGAATCTAGTCATTCTTTTAACTAGCAAAACATTTTGTTTTGTACTTTGTGGGAGATTCAAGTGAGTACTTAAGACCATATCATCCATAAGCACCGGCTGCGAGAAGCAAACATCATCTCTGGAACAAATTGTGTTTTCTTCAGCATTTGGAACAATTACAGATGCCGAAAGTGAGCATTTGCTGTTATTTTGTTCATAATTAGGCATTGCACAAAATCGCTTACAAGGGGGCTCATGCACTACATCTTGGTGTGATATTTCAGAATCTTCACTAATGAATTTCATTGCGCACCATCTATGTTTTATTAGATTATCTAAGTTGATCCTTTTATTTGGAAGAGGTGATAGTATTTTTCTCAGCAAAGACAATATTAAATTGCTGAGCTTGGTCCAAGGCGTTAGCGAAGTATATGAATTTATTTCCCAAGCTGTGTATTGATGATATTTCCACGTGGGTTCATCCCACGGCAACTCTCCAGTAAGCATGGCAGTTAAAATTATCCCGCAAGACCAAATATCGGCAGGCTCAGCTTTGTAAGATCCAGTTAAAACTTCTGGAGCAATATAAGGAAGAGTTCCACATCTCTTCTCAAGAAGGCGTTCACGACCATTTACTCGAAATATAGTAGCCATTCCAAAATCCGAAATTTTCAAATTATCTTTATCATCAAAAAGTATATTTTCGGGCTTTAAATCCCTATGTGTTATACCTCTCCTGTGTAGATATTGCAAACCACACAGCAACTGATTAAAATATTTCTTCGCTTCATTATTTTTCATACCAAATTCAGGCTCTATTCGATCGTACAACTCACCGCCTTCTGCAAACTCCAAGAATATATATTCAATATTGCCTTGTGTATTTTGTCCAAATAGTTTTAAGATGTTTCGGTGGCGCAAAGATTTTTGTATAACAACTTCTTTGTGCACAGCACGTTTAGCATCCCGATGCTTGGCTGTGTCGATTGTTTTCATTGCCAGAGCTTCTCCACTTCGTCGATTTAGGACTAGCCTCACTTCGCCATAAGTTCCTTCTCCTAGTATTTCTCCTACGGTCCAACCCTCATCAAATTTGGGCGCTTTTGAAGCCGCCATATTGGAACGAAAAATTTTCACATTTTAATAAAAAAAATCTGCCTTGAATAAAATACTGTCTACGTTGTTTGGCATATCACTTGACCAGTTAACTGCGATTGACAAAAATACGATTGATTGAAGTGATTAACAAATATACTCATCATGGCAATGGGAAGTGGCCAATTTTTGCCTGATGACGAGTATATCCGTTATGCGTACGAAAGAGTAAGCATTTGCTATTGAAATTGGCATTTTTGAAAGGAAAAACAAATTATATTGTGAAATGTCAAGTTTAGATATTTTGAGGCTGTGATTGTATGAAATAAGTAGTTGTAAGTGGCATTTTACCTTAAAGCAAGTTGTATAAATTTCCCGAAATGTAGAAATGATATACTTAATCAATAAGATTTAAAATTAAGCTTTTTAATCACATTTTTTACTATTTATTTTGAAAATAGTTTTTGCTTTTCATCAAAAGTATTCTTTCTGTCATACATTATACATGTATAAAATTTCATTGAATTTAATCTGGTTTTAAACTTACACATATGTAATATATATATATATATATATATATATATAAAGAACCTATTTCATTCAGCCATTTTCAAAAAGTTTATCAACACATAACAGATTGTAATTGAAATTAAAACAATCGTAATCTTATTTTCTAAATCTTGTAATTAACAAGTTAATGAAAAAAGTATAAACTATATGAGCATGGACAACATTTGCCTTGTGAGAAATTTTGCAGTCAGCCCATATTTAAGAAAAAGTTTTTTGTATGAAATCGCTTTTTGCTGTTACTCGATGTACTTTTGAACTTTTTTTATATATAAATAAATAGCAATTAAAAATTACAAATTTCTATGAGCTATTAAGCAAAAGTATACAAAAAATATACATTACATAAAATCACATACACAAATACGTAAATACAAATATGAACAAATATTCAAACATGAATAATTATACGATATAGTTTTTTAGTATTCGAATCCCTCCAGCGAGAGATTTACAAATAAGTGCTAGGTTGTATCATTGGCGGTACATTGAGCAAAGATGTAACTAATGCATTCGAGTGATACTCAAATTTTAAGACTTGGGTATTTTTCTGCTTTTAATAATTTTTTGTGCAAATGAGATTTGGAGATATCAAATTATATAAAGACAAACAATGAAACATTTGTTATTGTCCTAAGTATATTTGATTGGATTTTTTGTATAATTTTAATATTAAATTTCGTACGACTGCCCCAGATTTTGACTCCATAAGTCCAGATCGGTTTAGGTATTGTATTATATTATTTATAAGACGTTATTCTCCATAGACAATTCAAACTTTCTCCCAATAAGCCAGTGAAGCTTTAATTTGTGGAATTTTATATTTCATGTGCACTTGTACTTGTTGGTACATGTGTACTGGTGCTTGTTGATCATTGTTTAAAAATACTGATGGTCATGTATCTTAGTTTTTTCATGTTTTGGTCCAGTCTTCAATGATATTAAGGTAGGATTACAATTTATGTAGGGATGCAATTGGGTCTTTATTTACTGCTAGGATGGCTATATAGTCGGCGAAAGTAACTATCGTGGAGAAGTCCAGTAGGAAAATTATGGGTATACAATAAATAAAGAAGACCTAGTACGCTGCCTTGCGGTTCACCAGCTTTCATAATCTTAGGTTGGATTAATGCCGTATCTATTCTCATTTTAAATTTTATATTTTTCAAATAAAATTAAAAAAAATGTAGCACATGCTGGCAATATTTTTTTATTTTATATAGAAGTCCTTCGTATCACACCTGGTCGAAGGCTTGACTTACTTGTCAAAGGAATGTTGCAGAGCAATATTCTTTTGCTTCGTTGGCTTTGTTTATAGTGACGACTAATCTGTGGCACTGCTGTATTGTTGAGTGTCCTTTTCGGAATCTAAATTGGTGTTCTGGGATAATATTATTAACTTCAAAAATGTCTTCCTATATCAGTCTTTCAAGTACTTTGGATAAACTTGGTAGGGGACTAATAGGTCTCTAAAGCTTACTAATTTTAAATCCTTACCAGTTTTTGGGACCATTTTAACAACAGCGGGTTTGAAAACTGATGGCCAATAACTGAGTTTAATAGAATTATAAATATATGTTATAAAAATGTACCCCTTTTCAGTATTCTTTTAAAATATTGAAGAAATTTGATTTATTTCAGGCGACTTGTTGTTTTTTAATAGATTTATAGACTATTTAGACAGTGGAGAATTCAGTAATAAAGTTTTGGGTACTCTTAGATTCATCTGCAGACAATTGCAAAGGAATATTAGGATCAGATGCATTAGGCGAAAATACAGAGCTCAAATAAGTTGAAAAAAGTTTGGTCTTTTCAGATTCACTTCTTGCGCATGAATTATTGCTAGAAATTATTTTAATAAGTAAATTTGCAACTGTTGTTTTTTTCTTGCATTGCCTCGGGATTTAATTGTCGAATCTGTTAATTTTTTATTTACGTAATTAAAAAAATTACTTTCGTTAAATTATCCAATTTTCTGTTTTATGTTGCAATAAGTTCTCTTAACTGAAAGATAGTGTGATTTTTGCCATACACTTCTAGAGAAGGGTTTTTCAGAAATTAATCTTCTTATTTCTAAAGTAGTTTTCTGGTTTTAATGTGATGATTGTAATATTGCTATTAGGTTATTCAAAGCTTTCTCTATGTCAGTGGGAGATTTAAGTCTAGTGTTTAGCCTTATTTCAGCATCTATAGTATGTCGGCATAAGTTCCAGATAATATTAGAGTTGTGTAGCATAAGTTCCAGATAATATTAAGTTGTGTCACAGGACTTCAGTTTTAGATAAATAGATAGAAGTTATCGAAGCTATCACTGCAGTGTGATCTCATGATACGTCATACTTTTGAACATAAAAAACTTTTTTTTTATTTGGTTTGTACTAGTTTCGATGTGTAGATGTAAATGAGAAAACGAACAACTGCTACAAAAGGCATAAATAGCAAAACAAACTCTGCATTTTTATTCGGATCAACTCAGATATATAAAATATATATAAAACTACAAAAATAACTTAACTTCAATAAGTCGTTTTCAATTCAATAAGTCGTTTTCGAAAAAAATCATACCAATTTTATAAAAGTCAAGTGAATGACAAATCGGACAAGAAAGACAAAACGCTCATCATGATGCAAATATTAATAATTATTTCAAGTTCTTTTCATTCAAGTTTAGTAAATTAGTTAACAATGAAAGTCTATGCATGTTAATTTGTTTGTTTGCAACGTGCCGTCTATAAATAATGATGTGTTATTTTGAATTTAGTACTGAGATTATTAATTTCATAGTGTATTACTCAATCAATAAATTTGCATTTGTTATTTTAATTATGTAAATAATTGATTATAAACAAATTGTAATGAGCCTGAATAAACCTAATGTTTATTTGATTAATTATTTTATACAGCTGCTTTTATATGATTCTATTATGAGTCAATTACTTGTGCATGTACCTTGTAAAAAGGCAAACCTATCTAGGAACAAATGTTTCCTTCCTATTCGAAAAGTGATTCATAAGTTGAAATTTTATTTTGTATTAATCGTCTGATTTGTAATAATTCTGAATATTCACTTCTAAATGTCTTAAAAAATGAGTTGTTTTTATTTAATTTATCAAAATATTAATACTTGTTAAATTATAAATATATATATATTCTTAAAAAAAAATAAAAAAATTTAATCTTTTTTGAACAACTTTAATTTTTGGTACAGGAAGTTCCTGGAATTTGCCTTAAGGCACGATGCTATGCACCACTAGTTTCGAAATAAAGGGTATGGGCGCATTGCCATACAGAATCGGCCCCACCCTGGTATTTAAATAATTTATACGCCATTTTATAGGTCTATTTGATAAAAACCGATATACCAATTTTCAACTTTGTACCTCATCTTATGGCCGAGATATCATTGAAAATATGCCAAAGTGGCCCCTTCTTTTAAACTTACTTTTTAGCGTAACCATAAAAGATATCGAAAAAATTTTTACGTGATTCTACTTACATTGACTCAGACCACATTACGTAGAACAATCGATTCCAAAAAATCGTTTACTATTAGCTGAAAAAGACAAAATAATTTTTCAATTGATTATTTCGGGTAGTGCATTTATTTGGACCACTTTCTAATTAGCGTTATTCGAAAGCCTATTGTTTTTTCTTTGAGTACTGCAAATATTGTTCAAATCAATTTAGTGGAACACATTGGAAAATTGAAAAGAACAGAGCAAGTACACCCGCGCGTAACACTAATAGTACCCTGCAATTGCATAGAGTTCGTTCGGACGCAAAACAGTGCGCGATGCGCCGAAACGATTCTTAAGAAATTCTGAATGCGAAAATATTTATTTTATAGTTATATATGTATATATACATATGAAATAATAATATAATGAAACATTTTAGTTTCAACAAACACAAAAAAATTTTTTTTTTGAATGATAGTTGTAACATTGTGGCAATAAAGCCCTTATTGTGACCATTCTTTATCAGTACTACAATTTCATTTGATGTAAAAAAATATATACCTCTAATAAAATATAGCTGAATGTACTTTGTATAGTTTGCTATGAAAAATAAATTAAAAAAAAATTCTTGTAGAAGCTTTTTGTATAGTACTTCAGTAATTTACAAAAATTATTACTGAAAGTATTCTAATAATCATTATTTTTATAATATAAAATATATTAATTAATTTATTTCGAAAATTATATTATTTATAAATATAATATTTGTATCTTTTGTGTGGTTTATGCGAAAGATCGTGTTTTTTTTAACTAATTTTGTATTAGCTAATTCGCATCTACTTATAATATAGTGACATTTTAAATGCATTTAGTTTCAGTATATATTTTTAACTTTCCGCAAGTAAGTTATTGTAATCGTTCAAAAATCGCAATCGAAAATGTTTGCACATCTTCACGTTTCGAAGGTTTCTGAACATTTTGGAATACAATAGAAAA